GCCCACAAGGAGACCATGCATCGGTTGCGTAGCGAGCTTCAACCAGCACAAGGCCCGACGGAGTTCGGAGGCCACGATTTCCTTACGTCGAATGGATCATCGAGGAGGCTGGTGCTGGGCGAGGAGCCGATGTCGAGGGAGAGGATGTCGTACGGTAAGGGGGGACGACCATCCCTGCAGAGGATGTGCCGCTGGAAAAGATCGAGGCCACAAGCCTGGCGGGAGGGCGAGAGAGGGAATTCGAGCGCATGGGGCCGAGACGCGACGCGAAGGAGAATTCCAGCTTTTTCTGGTGTTGTGTCCACCTCCGATTTCTCTTGCACCATCACGCACTTTCTCCCGACAACCCCGCTTCTACAGGGCTCTTCACCTCCAGGCACGCCCCTCCCCGCCCCTTTCCCTGCCCCTCCCTGTTCATTCTCTTTTTGTTGTCCGCCCCCTGCCCTCGTCCCTCCGCACCTCGCTGTGGACCAAACGGGCCCCGGCAAAATTTGCTAAGCGGGTCAAATCGATGTGACAATCGTCTTCGGAATAATGCCCTGCGATGAAACCTGGAGAGGGGCCCATTCACAGACGGGGAAAAAGGGCCATCAGTCCGCCACAACGGCCTTGAGTCATTATCAGCGGCGAGGGGGGTCAAAACACGAAAGGGTGAAATCAGCTTACCGGGGAGCATGCCGGAATACGGTGTATTCAAGTCCCGCGTGATGAGGGTCAATTGAACGCCTGGATGGCGTTGCGATGCTTGCATGAGAACGGAAGTCTCGGCATTCTTCTTTCTTACGTCTCCTCTCCTCTCCTCCATGTCCACCGGTCAAAAATCCGAGCTATCTGGAGATTAAACTTCCATGAGATTAGATTACATCCGCCCATACCTGGCAAAGGCTGCATTCCCCACATTTTTAGCACGTGGACATGCGCGTGCCCCCCCCCGACCAGGACAAGGTTCTTGTAGCAGGGCGTGGGAGTAAGACTGGATGGATAGGGGGGATAACAGCCAGGGAAGTGCGGCGTGGAGGGCGTGGGTGGAAGTGTCATGAAACACATCTTATGGTCCTCATTTCATGAAGATTGTAAGAAAATGCGTACCCGAGTTTCATCTTTTGGACAATAATCCAGCTATGTTGCTTCTCGTTTTCAAAGGTCCAAGCCCGTTGACAAGTAGACCTGCTAATGTAGGAATTTAAGCTTTTTGTAGGATGATGAAGGAAAGGCAAGACACTGTTTTTTCATTGTGGGCTTATTTCATATCTACAATCGTTCTTGCAAATGCATGCAATTCTAGGGATGCCGGTACGCAGGACGCTCGTTTCACTTCCACTTCAGTACTGTAAGACGACTGTAGAGCGCCCGAGGCAAACACGTCCGCGATCTTGATCAACATTACCTCTGCCCATCACAAAAGCCGCTGGTAAGAAACTCTGACACTCATTTCGTCCTTGGATGTTGTCATTCGATGCCCATTTACGTGCTGTGGAGTAAGTAAAAGCGTACCAAATAGCTTTGGGGAGGTCGATCGCTAAGACTCGCGGAGGCAGAAACGCCGAAACGACGTCTTTCAAAGTCTTTGTCTTCCCACATTTGATATGCACGACTAAGGACACACTCGACATTTAATTATGAAGAAGCGGGTTGGTATGGTCGTGCGCGCCACGTTGGTTGGAGGGGAAAGTGATAAAAATGATTGTTGTTTAAGATGTGGCGGTGCAGCCTCCTGTACGATAATGAATGTTGTGCATGCATGAATCTCATTCCAAATTGACTTTCTTTTTCGACAAGAAACAGGAGGTGGAACATGTCCGACATTCCAGCTGGCTGGGTTCAACGAGGTAAGCTTCATTTCATACTTATGGTTTTTACATACCATTTTGGCATTTTCATGTCACTTTTTATCATAATGCACTTATTGCCAGAGAGTAGGTCCCGCGGCGGACAGATTTATTACTACAATACCACGACGGGCGAAAGTGTGTGGGAGAAACCAACGGCACCGGCGAGTGCTGAGAGTGGACAGGTCCGTGAGTGATGGCAGGAAAGAGATTGGAGGACGGTGCAAAGGGTGGCAGGATACCCACACTCACCTAGTACGCTCTTTGAACGAATCCGTAATCTTACCTGTATCTCGACCCGTCCGGCTTGAGCACAGCCGAGTGTGTAATGAAGCCTCAGATGATCCACACTCGATATGGTCTTGTCTTTTTCCTGCTTCCCTGCAGGTACATGTCCTCCACCTCCTCAAGAAACACAAGGGCTCCCGCCGGCCTTCCTCGTGGCGACAAGAGAACATCACCTGCACCAAGGAAGAAGCCATGCAATCTCTAGCGGGTGAGTGCACGAACAGGTATCCTTGTACCGTAATTGTCCGACGACCCATCCTCACACTTACTCCCCAGTTCCCTGTACTTTAGCTCATAATACCCTTGCTCCATCTCCCTCCCCTACAGCTTTGCGGGAACAAATTGTGTCGGCTGGGAGTGCAAGTATGCAACGAGCATTCGAAGATTTGGCCAAGGTAAGACGGGGAAAGATGAAAGAGGGGTGGTAGATCGACTGAAGCGTCCGTTCAGAAAAATTATGTACAGCCTTTGCATGCATGTCTTTGGGGCGTGAACGGTCGATTGTGCACAAGAACGACATTACATGTGGAACCTACACAGGTAGAGAGCGATTGTAGCAGTGCCAGGGCCGGCGGAAGCTTAGGGTTCTTTGGAAGGGGTCAAATGCAGAAGCCTTTCGAGGGTACGACGCGGTCCTTGGGTCAGGAGAGGGGTATCTTTTGCTTCCTTTTTTAATTCCTGTCCTGGCTTCACTCTTTCTTCCCTTTATCCTTGCTTCTTGATGTCGAATTGCCTTCATAAACGGACATCATTCGTGTGCCTGCACACGTCACAGTACCATGTCCTCCCAAGGCGTCTGGCTCTTTCTCATTCCGTGCTGTCTTTTCACCCCGCTCTAGATGTTTCCTTTTCCTTAGGCGTCGGTGAACTTAGTGATCTGATTTCCACAGATAGTGGTGTGCACATCATTTACCGGGTGGCGTGAAGTGGAGAAAGCTAAGTGAGCATGGGATGAGATTAATGTTGAGCTTCGGTGCGCAGGACACAGCGAAATCGCTGATGACGAGTATCATTTGGACGTTAATGATATATCGTGAAGTTAAGAGGAAGGAAGAGAAACCGCCATGTTTTAAAAAGTAACTGAAATTGTCATGGAACCCATCTCACGCACTTTCTCTAAAATTTAATTTAATTTAGTTGTGAGAGCAGGCGTAGGTGGTAGCCTATCATCTGATCTTTTTTAGTAGCACTTACATGATGGCCAACACGGAAAAAAAATGTGTTTGGAGGTCAGGACCGTGGATTCCGAGGGTAGGAATCTAACACTGCCGCCCGCAAAGCATGATTTGGTTTACGGGTGTGCGTAATGATGTCAGCAACAATAATTTGCATCCGTTCACATTCTACATACTTCTAGAAGCTGTCGTCTACCACTTTTGAAGGTACAAAATATAAAGTAATGGAAATTGGTAAAGAGTAGGGAAGGTCGCATAAACTAACGAGTTCGCACTTCTGAAGCGTTCACTAAGAGCGTTCGCTAAGGGCGGTGTATCTTCCTCCTTTCCCCCATAGTCGTGATGTACAGCATCTTCTTCATCATAAATACCCGATCGATATTTGTGCAGGACCGTCGCACCTTAAATATATGGCAAAAGTGAAGCGAACCACGCGTCGCATCTTGTTCGGGGAGGACCCTGCAAAGCGACCCGGAGGAGACGGCGAGGAGTCAAACGGGCCATGCCAATGCCTGAGTATCATGATGTGTTGCTCATCCTGTCCCTCAAGTGCAGGGCTTACATTGCTCATAACATGAACGTTCACTTCTTCACTGATGGGAACAGGACGTGGCGTGAAGCCTGGCATTTGTGAGCACACATTCGGTTCGAGAACTTCGCTTTCAGGCATCGCTCAAGACAGCACCATACGTTGGGGGGGTTGACCAGCGAGCTCGTTTAGAGTGCACCCTCCCATTTTAGTGTAGCACAGGCAATTCTTCTTCGGACACCTCCAACGGAAAGGTGATTAATAATTAGAAAAGTCCGTTTCCTGGCAAAGTTATCGATCTTCAAATACAGGACCGACCGTTTTCCATTCTGCCCTCCGTCTCCTACAACTCCCTATGGCCGCGCTCCCCAACATCAGATTCTTACCCTGCAGTGAGGATTCTTCACCTCGAGAAAAAACGTTTATTTCTGATTTTTCTTCCTTAAAATGCAGCTCTTCATACGGCAAGCAATTTTCCTGTCGTCATTCTCATCGATTTCCCTCCCTTCCTTTGACTTCCCTCATCCCAGACCGGCAGGTCTGAAGACTGCTTTAGACGATGAAACCGAGTCTAAGAGCCTCCTCCCACGCGGCATTGGACCGCCTGGTGCACAAGGTAGTCAAAAGGAGATTTCTTTCCAGGAAAATCAAAGCAATCTGAAGAACAATGGAGAATTCACTAAGCGAAAGGTAGCACGACCCGTCTCTCACCCGAGTCTTTTTTCTCTCTCGCTCTCTTTTGCCTCCTGTCCAGGAGAGTGCGCGGGCAAAGCACGCAATCACAATGAATCGGTCATCCTCAGTATCTGTTGGCATTGGGCCCTCTAATCTGAACCGACAAGACCAGGTAAGGAGCGGCTGAGGGACGGGCGGAGGGGAGGTCTGAAGGCTGTTTGGCTTTTGTCCATTACCGTCTCGCTTCATGTGGGGATGAAGTGAATGCCCTATACGGGAACTTCATAATGCTTTGGGAGGAAGACCCACCCCTCCTCCCTTTCCTCCCCCCTTTTCTCGCCCCCTGCCCTCCTTCTCCTCCCTCCCTCCCTCCCTCCCTCCCTCCCTCC